TGGTTTATTGTTCCTCCTAAATGGCGAGGAAGGGTTGGACCTGCCTGGAGAGCCAGTGGCGTTTGATTAATTGTTAATCGAAATGTCTGTTTGGGGACAAGTGGATTTGTGTAAAAATTTGGAACAAATTGTGGGGAAGGGTTTCTTCAATTTTTGTAACAGTGCGGAGTTTAAGATTTTTTTTTGTGATGTTCAGTGTCGTACATAAGAGTTGGGTTTGGGGTTTTCAAACCCCTCCTACAGACTAACAGATTTTTAATTTTTCAATTCCTACTATTTGTTTATACTCTCTCTCTCTCTCTCTCTCTCTATATATATATATATATCTTGTTCAAATTTTGAATCGTTAATAAAATACTTTCTATTCACCCATTCAAGTTAAAATACATTTTTTTAAACTTGTAGTGGATGACACCTGATGCTAATACAGTTTTTTCAAATATTAATTCATTCATTAAATTAAAAAATGAATAAATAGTAACAAACAAAAGTAATAGTCCAACAGCATATATAGAAAGGAAATGTGTTCGTTGTATCCCCCTGTTGCGCAATGGATTGCGTGTTGGACTCCTAATCCAAGGGTCGTGAGCTCGAATTCCATCTCGGGTGGCCTATTTTCTGAGAGTCTGGTTTCTTTTTTACTATGCTGTTTTATTAGAATAATTAAATTTAATGAATGAATAAATAGTAACAAACAAACAAAACAAAAATAGTCCAACACCCTATATAGAAAGGAAAATATAAAAATTGCAAGGAAAATCTCTTTTTATTTTGTCACTTAATAGTGTAATTCAGTCTTATGTATATACATATTTATATTAAATGTAACTATTTAATAAAAAGTAACTAAAATAATATTTTACTTTGTTGACCTAAGTAGGAATTGACTTAATATTATTTTTTTTATATTACTTGTAATCTTAAAGATAACATCTCGATACTTTGTCTATTTTTTAAAAAACTTAACCCTTCCCATGAAAGTACTCTGTTTACACCACTAGTGATGTTAGAAGTGTTTGTTTGTGGTGAAATAAAACCAAAAAAGAAAATATTTAATAATTCTTTTTCACTTCCATGATGTATAAAAAACATTTTAATTTTTTTCATTATTTAGTAAAAATGTTATATAATTGCGTTGCACAAGTTAAAAGTGCGATTAATTTAAGATGACTGACTACGTTCAACACCGTGATTTCGGAAAAAAAGTGTAAATGGCTATTTGTTTTGATATTTAGTGTCAGTTGAACTAGAATAAAGGTCGGGGGGAAAGGAATCCATTATTTTTGCATAAAATTCAAGACATTATTTAAAATGTTTGGATTGTCCGAATTAGGTCAAATATGGACCGTTTCGTTGTATAATTTGTTGCCATTTTAAAGGTAGCTTCATAATTCCTCTATCATAGAAGTCTTGGTCTTTATTGGAGAAAAACTCTAGCAATCGATTTGCACAATCTTCTCTTGATTCCAATTTCTTATCACTCAGGAAGTTTTGCAATGCGAGAAAAATGTGGTAATCGCTTGGTGCCACCCCCGGGCTATATGGTGGATGCATTAAAACTTCCCAACCAAGCTCCAAGAGTTTATGGCGAATCACTACAGACGTGTGTCTGGCCTGGCGTTGTCCTGATGGAACACAACACTTCTGTTTGCCAATTCTGGCCGTTTCTAGTTAATCGCTGGCTTCAAATGGTCCAGTTGTTGACAGTAGATATCTGAATTTAGTGTTTGGCCATACGAAAGCAACTCATAATAAATTATTCCTTTCCAGTCCCACCAAATACACAGTAGAACCTTCCTGGCTGTTAGTCCTAGTTTGATCACCGTTTGAGCTACTTCACCGCGCTTTGACCACGATCGTTTTCGCACAATACTTGCGTATGGGACCTATTTTTCCTCGCCATTCACCATCCGTTTAAGAAATGGGTCGATTTCGTTGGGTTTGGCCAAGGCATTGCAGATGGAAATTCGATCCACCATGTTTTTTGGTGTTAATTGGTGTGGCACCCAAACATCGAGCTTCTTTTTGAATCCAACTTTGCGCAAATGGTTTAAAACTGTTTTATGGTTGATCTTTAGCTCCTGGGCGATGCTACGACTACTAATCTGCCGGTCAACTTCCATTATTTCTGTGATTTTATCGACATTTTGGACGACGGGCCTGCCTGTGCGAGGTGCATCTTTAACATCAAAAATGCCTGAACGGAATCAACAAAACCAAAATTGCACGTAATTAGCTGTTACAGTATCTGCACCTAAACACCATGCATAATTTCAGCCGCCTGGATTACATTTTTGCCTTTATCAAAGAAAAACTGTAAAATGTACTGAATTTTTTCTTTGTTGACTTCCATTTTTAACACCCTGTAACTCACAACTGAATGGACCAAACAAAAAAAGTTTTTTTGGTGTAAATTGTGACCTTGACAACGAGCATAAATTTGAAATTTTTTGATCGATACTTCAGGAGATATGGACACTACAACCGAAAAAAAATAATAGATTTCTTTTTCCCCAAACTAATATATACATATCAAATTGTTTTACGAGTATTGTTACAAGAAAAGTTATTTAACACAATATTTTGTATATATATAGAAAAAAATGAAGAAAAAGTAAAATATTTTTCACTTCTGTGAGATGGTACTATTTTACCTATATATAACTAGGACTACTATTCCTGGGGTTGAATTAAAACGTTTGAAATATATAATTTAGAAGTGGATTTATTTATTCATATTTCATCATATCAGAGTAGAGAAATTTTTACAAAAAGCACCCTTTATTATTTCTGTTGATCATAACTTTGAAAATAATGTGAATTTTTTAAAAACTTCAATTCAACCCCGGTAAAGAAGTTCTAACTATACAGGGTGTGGCCGAATTCGACCGACAAATTCAGAGGAGTGATAGTAAGCAGCACGGGGACGGCAAATCACTGTAGAACATGGGGTCACAAACCACGTTTAGTCGGAGTAATTCGCAAAATTTGTTATGAAGGGTGGGATGTAGAGTGGAATGAAAAGGGTCAATTAGAAGTAAGAAATGCATTTATTAGAAGGAAGTATGTTTACAATACGAACAATGCACCACAGAGCTCGACTTAGAAATGCAATAGCAAAGGATTATTACAGGAATTGTTCGAAGTTATGGCCACATAGAACAATCCACATAGCACAATCGAAACCGACGGACGTGTTCAAACAAATCCTATGTGCTGGCGATGTCAACCGAAGCGACGACGATCTATGACGTGAGATCTCCCACTGTAGACAACGGCATATCATACACAAGTGATTTCAGGTGGCTCCAGAAGAAGAAATTCAAGGGGTTGAGGTCCACGGAGTGTGGACGCCAAACAATAGGTCCGCCATGTTCCCTCCACAGCAGCAACTTCGGGAAAAGTGGGAAATTTGCATATGTGCTGGTTCCTCCAACCCTACCAAGGCGCTCCAAATAACCAAGATTAATTGGCTACTCCCCTCGTCTGGCTCACCTCCCGACGTCTTCTATCATCGCGATTTTCGCTGACTAAACGTGGTTTGCAATCCCATGCTCTATGATAATTTGTCATCCCCGTGCTGCCTACTACTGTCCCTCTGAAATTGTCGATCGAGTTCGGCACCACCCTGTATATAGGCGAAATATTATTATAGAATCATTTTTCATAAAAGGAAAATGTTTTTAAAATGTGTCATTCTTTCTTCTTCTACTTTTTTTTTGCCTCAAAACTGCATTTAAACAATTTTTTCTAGTAATAATATTTGTAAAACAATCTTATATGCATGTTCTAATTCAACTGACACTAAATATCAAAAATTTATTCATTTATACTCTTTTTTCAAAAGCAAGGTTCCGAACGTAATTCACCGTAACTAATATTGGAATAAGATCTCACAAAGCTTGATTAAATTAGGTATTTTAAATTAATTAATTAAAAGAGATTTTCTTCTCATTTGAGTAAAAAGGGGAAAAATAACCTTTTTTTCCTTCTATAATTTGTTTTTGTTGAAATTAAGTGAAATTTAATCCGTTCATCGAACAATCCATCATTTTGTCTTTTGAAGCAGCTTCATTGTGGTATCAAGTAATTTCTTTACTTTCTAAATTTTTACAATGTTATCTTATATGCTTCAGAGTACTAATTCTCCTTCAAACATGTCTGTTAATAGGCGATAGATCAAGTAAACTAGATCTTCTCCTCCATTATGCAGCCAGACAGAAACTAATCCAGTTCATTAAGTGTTTATTTTTTTGTGCAGGTCATTTGACACTAGTATGTGAAGTTTTCATTGATGTTTGCTCATTTGTAGGTATGGTGGGATATGTTTTCTCAGTGAAATGTAACTGTGGATTATTTTTAGCTGTCTTTACCCATCAGTCTTGTTCTTTATGCCTGTTGGGGAAGAAAAAAAAAGATTAAAACGAGGGGTTTTTTTTGCCTTTAACTTCCTAATATATTGCTGCACATTAATTTTTTTTTCTCCTTTGGTACTCTTTTTGGTGTTCTTTATAATGATGGCGCCGCATGTAATGAATGATGCTAAATGACACAAAATGTTTCTTTTTCCGTGTTATGTACTTGACAGAGAATTCGTCGTAATAAACGAATAGTTTTGTGACAAGTTTTTGTAGAAATGGTTCTATAAATTTACTTGGCTCAAGTCCTTTGTTTTGTTTTGTTTTTAACTCATAAAGTGCCGAATAAGTATTCCAAGGATCAAAACAAAGTTCTTTATTTTTTCAATTCCTGCTATTATTTCTCACTCTCCCTATATATATATATATGCCTTGTTCAAATTTTCAATCGTTAATAAAATATTTTTTATTCATCCACTCAAGTTCAAATACATTTTTTAAACTTGTAGTGGAGGACACTTGGTGTTAATACAATTTTTTTTTCAAATATTAATTCATTTATTAAATTTAAATAATGAATAAATAGCAACAGACAAAAATAATAGTCCAAGACCATATATAAAAAGGAAAATCGCTCTTTGTGTCCCAGTAGTACAATGGATAGCGCGTTGGACTTCTAATCCAAAGGTCATGGGTTCAAATCCTACCTGGGGTGGCCTTATTTCTCGTAATATGATTTATGAATAAATAAAGAGTATATAATTAATAGAATAAATATTTTCCATTTTGCCTCTTGATATTCTGCCCTATGTATATACATATTTATATTAATTGTAATTATTTGATAAAAAGTAACTAAAATATAAAAAATTTCTTTGTTATTAACCTAAGTAGGAATTTACTTAAAAATATTTTTTTTATATATATTTCTTGTTTTTTATGGATTCAGTAACGTACGCTGATTGTTTTCATGGAGGGATTACATTTATTAGAACACGTAGACTAAAGCAGTGGTCCCAGTGGCGTAACATACACCCCCGCACTGTGGAGGGCCCTGAATTCTGAGGGGTCCAAAGCCTGACTGACATCAAGTACGTATTTGGGCCCGCACCCCCCAACCCCACCTTGCCGGGGGGGGGGGGGCTAACACTCTTCGTTGCGCTACTGAGTGGTGCCCAACCTCCAGGCCACGGACCGCTACCGGTCCGTGGATCAAATAGTACCGGGCGGCAGAAGAAAGATTAAATTATTTTCATTTTATTTACTGTGGTGTATTTATCTCGGGTTGGTGCGACTTTTTTATAGAAATCGCTGCATATTCCGTGTTAAATCACTTTATGTTTATTTTTGGATGTAACTGTATTTTATGCAGAAAGCATATTTAAATACAATTACATTAAAATTATTAAATTAGAACGATCTAAAATATGAACAATCAATTACTCTCCCCTAGAGGGTCGCGGTGAAATTATCAAACATTCACCTGACTGCGGCGATAAAAAGGTTGAGAAGTACTGGACTAAAGCACTGAAATGTACTCTTCACGTTAAAAATTAAAAATCTGTTGCTCTATGGGAAGGATTTGAACCCTAAAGCCCTACACCATGTGTACGCCACTGCATGAATTAAAAAAATCAGATTAAATATTTTAATTACAAAAAAATAGAAAATTTATTGAAGTGAATTCTTCTTATTATTTTTTTATTTGCCCAAAATATCTTCTCTGATTATTTATTGCATTGATATAACAATTTCGGCGGGGGAGGGGAGACTTTTCCCATTGTTTGCGTGTAAAAACAGGGCGATACATGCATCATGTTTTATACATAGATAAATAAATCCAACAAAATAAGAAATTACATTTTAATGGAAAATTTTAATCTATGAAAATCTATTTCATGTTTATTTAAAAAATAAAGTTGTTTTTAAAAGTAATAATTTTAAAAACTGGTCTCTTATTGTTCTTTAAAAATTTATCTCTGTGTTAATCATTTGCTTGGTTTATTCTTGTTAGGCTTAAAGAATAAATATTGAAATATTTTTTCAGTATTTTTTAGACACGTTTTCAATCATCATTTTTTTTTACCTGCTGTAATGGAATTTCTTATTGATAAATATCAACTTCGTAAGGCTTCTGAGTTAACTATTTTCCCTCCTGAAATTATTTCAGAAGCCATAAATAAGAGTTGTTATTATTCTGTTATGTTTTATGGCATAAAAAAGCAATCTTCGATCAAAGAAATTTGCTTCATCTTTAGTTCTGAATACCAACTTGCTAATTTTTGTTTTCGGAAAACCTCTTGGGTTTAGTTTTTACACCCCTCAGAATTTTTTACGCATAAATACATAAGAAAGTGAATTATTGATCTTAATCATGAATCATGATTCATCTTAGTGATTCATGTTTCCTTTCTATAAGGATACTAAAATATTTTTCTAAAACTTCAAGAATAATGTTTGTTTTGCTGTTTAAATTAAAACAAATTCTATTCGAAGAAATCGAGAACATGACGTTAAGTGTGCATTTAGAAATTCTTAGTTTTCGTTTTCTTTTTATAATAATATATTGCCAAAATTCCAATAACCTTTCTTCACACAAATTTTAAAGTACCATTCATGTGAATACTTTTATGGCTTTAAAACTATTTCGAGAGATGGTTAACTCATGGAAATAATCGATATCAACTCGAAGTATTAAATGATTGTTGCAATTTGAAAGCTTTTATTCTATATCCATTAAGAACTTCTTATAATGTTATGGACAGACATTAAATGCAAGGCATCAATAAGGGAAAGTAATTCTAAACAATAAAGTTTCATCCAGTGTTAGGAGCCCTGGCCACTTTTAGTTAAAAAGGGCTACATTCGGAAGTACAGAATGTTTGTAAGCAAAAAAACAAAGTTTCTACTTACATAAACGTTCACACGCCATCTGGCGGTTACAGTGAGAATTCGTTGGGGAATTCTTAACACTTCCGGTGGAAAATTCATAGCTTTTATAGGATTCAATTTATTGACTGAATTTCTAAATAGGAAAATATTTATAAAAGTGTTCCATAAGTATCAACATACTATCGATGTTATTCTATCGCTTTTCTTGGTTATCGATACTATAGATTGTGATCATCGCTGATGTCGAATATTGTTCGATATTTCTGAATTATATTCAATTTATTGAGTGAATTATTCATAATAATGCTTAAAAGAAATCTGGATGTTAAAGAAAAGTCCACTAAACTTATTGACTGTAGAATCATCTGTGATGATATTAATATTGTTTAAAAAACGCTTAACTATCCCGCATTACTCGACACTGTTGTTGGGACTATGAGAATATTGAATAATCTATCAATGATACTATCGATATTTAAACTGTAATATTTAAACGATAATAAAGGAACTCTAAATTACGGAGTCAAATGTGAATTTACATTTTTCTACGTAGGGATTTCGGAAAGTAAGGTAACAAGCCCTTTCAGAGTAAACGTTTATTCAGGAAATAAAGAAAAATACATATAACGGTGGAAGGCACTGGTTCAATCACTTCTCTACATTAGTCACCTAATTACGGCATTTGTTCCATCGGTACTCCAAACCATCGAAACCAGTGTCGTAAGGGCCTATCACACACGCATACTTGGAGCAACTGTTTCGCCGAATTTTTCACGCAGCTGAGAGTGAAAGGTTGCCGTAAACAAAACGACATGATCTGACGTCAACCACGCTCTATCTCCACATTAAAAAATTATTCACCGATTTTTCTGTGTTGGAAAATGAACATCCAATATTATTCTTTTTATTTCGCTCGCGCTTTTATTGACGGGTGTAAACAGAAATGGAGACCATTCTGTTTAAAATATTATACGCAGTTAAAATATTATACACCATTAAATATTATAAGCCATATCTGATGCGTTTGACGAAGCCGAAGTTGCCATCTTGTTTATGACGTAGGGCGCCGAAAAATTTCATTCGCTGGAACTTCAAGCAACTTAAATTTGGAACAATTTTTTCAGCTCACTGGGAAAAAGTTGTTCGGAGCCGTTGCTAGGTAGAAAGTGTTTGGAATTGGTTGCTTTCAAGGAAAATCTCTCCAAATAAGTGTACGTGTGATAAGGCCTGTAGAAATCAGCGTCAAGGTTGGGCAACTACATCAAGACGGCTTGCTGAACCTCAGCATCGGTTCTGAAATGCTGATGGTTTCCTTAAAGGTCCGAAGAGATGGAAATCACTTGGTGCTAGGTCGGGAATGTAAGGAAGGTGGTTCAATACCTTCCAACGAAAACTCTCTCTTCATCTAGCTCATCTTTTCTGTAATTGTCGAATTCCGTGCACCAAAAGCACGCTTTCTTCGTAACATAACTCTTGCACTACCAACTGCCGACGAATTTCAGCTAAGGAATTTTTTTAAAAATCCAAAAACCATGTCACACATTTTATTTTAACAATGAACAATGTTTCCATCAACGTAGCCATCTTCTTACTGAGATTTAATCGTTACTGGAAAACCAGCTGTATCTTTGACTCCATTTGAGTGTTGTGAACGTTACCTTCAAAGGGATTTTTGTTCATTTTAATTTGCACACCCATCAGAGATCTTGTTACCTTACTTTTTGAAACCCTTACGTAATTCACATCAGTTCAATTTCTCATTTTCGAATAATCTGTAATTGGATTAAAAAAATATACCTTATTTGTTTTTATTTAAATTTTATGCGTTTATATTTATTTTTTTTTATTATTATTTATACGAACTATGTATTTAGACGTTAAGAAAAACTTTTTAATTTTTTAAAGTTTGTAAAGGAAAAATTAAAACAAATATATGAATATTGATAAGTGCTTATAAATGGTTTATTCTTTTAATATAAAGAGGTTTTAGGTTTTTTTCACCTGTAAAAGTTTTTAAGATTTTGATTTTAAATCCTAAAATGTTTTTTTTCTCCGAAACAGATTTTTCCATATTTTATAGCACAGTAAACATGATATCTTATGAAGTTCTTGAGATAATTGCCTGAAATTTTACATCATTGTTTACTAATATAATATGCATGTTGTGAAATACAGATTGAAAAAAAACAATACATTTACTTTTTTTTTTTTATTGTTTTTCTTTGTGATAAATGCAAAACTTTTTTTAAAAAATTTGCCTTTTGAGCACTTTTTTACCCTTAATTTTGTGATAAATTGAAATTATTCAAAAATGCTAGTTCAATGCATGGGTAACTATTTTCTGAATTAAATTCTAGAAGCTTTTTTTTTAATTTATGCATTCGAATTTATTTTACAGTGTTTGCCGCAATGGGCAAAAAATGTTTAATTTTAACCTAAAATTGTCCATTTTCTTAAAAAAATATACGAAAAAAAATTTCTATGTTTTATTTTTTATAAGTTTTCAGTTATAATTAAACAAAAAACGAGTTTAAAGATAAGATTTTAGCAATATTTCAAAAAAATGTTCCCGAAATTAGTCAGTTATACACTTACACATGTATATACATAGATAAATAGAAGTGTATGGGTTTATGTATTTTAAAAACTTTATTATGGCTTCTGCATTTTTAAAATAGATAAACTTGTATAAAACATACATTGAAGTGATAGCTATTTAATTTCAACAAAGATTATTTTAATAACACACAACATTTTAAACAAAACCCATATTTTATAAGTAGCGTTCAGCATTAAATATACAGTAAAATCCGGCTTATAGCG